TCTCAATTTTCACTTGTTAATTTTCTTTGCTCTTTAGTCAATTTTCTTTATTTATCATTTTAATTTTCTTTCTTAAAAAAAACCCCCCAAAAATTGCATTGCATTTGTTTAATTTAATTTAATTTTCATATAGATTTTAGGACATTTGCATTTTCCATTTAGAATTAGAATTTTGCATTTTAGTTTAGGTCCAATTTATTGCATTTTTTTATCACCTGAATTTTTATCTAAAAAAACCTATAAATTGCTCCTTGGAAGTAATGACCTAGGTCGATCCTAAACTACAAATTAATTGGGACCTAATTTAATTGAGTGTTTTAACGACGAAAGCATCATCAAGCTCGCACTACCGAATATGAAAAATGAAGATGGAGAAGAGAACAAGCCCTATTTTCGTTTTTCTTTGAGAGTACTACTTATTAAATATGCCAGATAAGATTTTTTTTAAATCAAATTTGGGCTGAGTCATCATTTTCATGGTCAACTATTTTTATTTTATAATTTCATAAATAAATTATTTATATTTATAATTTCACAAATAAACTAATTTTATTTTATCATAACAATTTTAGATTTTTTTTAACAATTACCACATTAAAAACATCAAATATCAAATATTACTAAACAATAAACTTCATACATTTTTCAGTTATTTTACAACTAAACTCACTTTTCTTTTAATCATCCAAATAATTTTTACCTTTTTTAACTGACTTTTTATAAGCATCTATCCAAACATAAATCACATTATACTAACTGACTTTTACTCTAATTTCAGTTACAATAATCAGTTAAAATAGAAGTTAGTTTTACTCAAACGCCAATCCAAACATGCCTTTATCGCCTGCCAATAACTTTGAGATCCGACAGCGGCGGCGACTATGATTTCTTTAGGCAAAGTTGACTTGTGATAAATATCTCAGGAATTGCAGTAAGTGGCTGACAGTACTATAATCACCCAACTATAAACTTTGTTAAAATGTATTGTGGTTTGCTAATTAAATATAGGAAACAATGAATGAAGTATAGCAAATACTCCCTTCATTTTTTTGTAATATTTCAAAATTTGAATTGATTTAAAAAAGACAGAAAGAAATTATTAATAAAAATGTAAAGTGGATATTTACTATACACTTCATCCTTTATTCGTTATTTATGCTACCTCTTATCTTTATCATACAACTCATCCAAGGAGTATAAAGTATTTGGGAAATTTGATTTAAAAAAAACCTGTTTTAAAAATTGTATTAGCTAAAATGATCTAAATTTGAGTATATACAACTTTTCTTTAACTGTGTATAACATATTTTCAGTTATATGCAAGAGTCATCAAAATAAAAATCATTTAAACATAGTTAAAGATATATTGCATGCAACTAAAGAAAAATTACACCCACTCAAATTCAATTGCTTTTAAGCAACATCATTTTCAAATAGGTTTTTTTTAAAACTAATTTTTTTAAGTATTTGGCCATGTTTATAAGACTCTTTGATTGTTCAGTGAGCATTAAATATTTTTCCTATATATGTTCATATTTAATAAGGTTAGTGAGAATGTAGAAATTAACAAAATTAATATTATTATTGATTCTTATAGTTTCATTGAATTTTGGTTAAAATCCATGAGGTTTCAAATTATTGGTTTTGGTTCATATAGTTTCATAAGAGTTTTGGTGAGCTTAAATATAGGAAGCAAAACCAGATCTTGTTAATAGCAGTTTCACCTAAGAGGAGGATGAATTGGGTGATAAAAAATTCACTTTTAGAAATGAATTCAAATGAGTTCAAAGAAAAAAGTTAGAAGTATATCATTGAAGGATATTGAAGATAAATAAGAGTACAACATATTTATACTGGTTTGGTCAACTATTTAACTTATATTCAATTCTTAGAGCGCTTCTCAATTTCCATTAAGCTTTCAAGATTCAACGGACTCTTACTACTTTAATACAGTAATTAAATTCACTTAATCACCCTCTCTTACTTCTCATATGCACCCTGTTCAAGATTTACATAATCTTGAATATCTCAAAATTTAGGGAAGCATTAATGAATCTCTCTCTAAGAGTAATCAATGATCACTAAAGCTCAGAAATGTACTTTAGAAACCAAAGCAATAAATCCAAAAGTTAATGCGATAGAGTGGTAGCTTAAGTTTGTTAATTGCTCCATTGAATGCTTGTCTTATTTATAGTTGATCTTCAATAAGTATCTGTTAGACTCTCGAGTTTTGTTTCTGTTGGAAATGGAACTGGATAGGTTGGCAGCTTGTATCCGTTGAATTGCATTTGATGTTTCTAACAAAAAATTGCTAACCAACGTCATTTTTCTGTTGAATCTAACCAATGTCATATTTTCTGAGTCCTTGAACCTACGATAATCTTGCTTTATTGATGTTGTTAGTGCTTCATAAACTCATGAACATACTCATGAACATTGAAAAACAATAACATCTTGAGATATATGTAGAGTTACTTTGATATTAGACAAAAAATCAGAATTTGTTATTTAAGAAATTGATAAGCTTACTCGAGCAGCTTATTGAGTAAGAAGGCAAAGGGACAGATAATACTTGAGTGTCTTGTTGAGCAGATATTTTCTCGAATATAAACTGGAAAAGATACTGAAGAAAGCTTAAAGAAATTAATTTTGTAAAGTTCATACCCGAGCCTATACTTGTGAAAATAGATCAATTATAACATCTTTGCTCAAGTGCCTTTATCTAGTGAAATACTTGAGAAAGTTATCGAAAAAGAGTAGAATATCTTTGAGAAAGTAATCGAGTAGAGAGTTTGAAATATGAAATCAGAAGGGCAAGACTTAGTTGATAATAGTTAGATAATCAATAATGTAGTAGAGTAAAAGTAATTAAAAAAAAAGCTTAAAGAAATACTTATTTGTTCCTATTTATAAATCACGTATAGAGAAAAAGTTTGTTTCTAAATATAAGTCATTTGTGTGGTAATTAATGAGTTTTTTTTTTTTTTTTAAATTTTACTTCTATTGATTTCAATGGGCGAGAGAAAAATATAAAACATATTTTTTTAATATCTTTTCTTTAACAAGGGTAAAAGATGAAAAAAAAATATCAATTTAATTTATTTCTTGATTTGCAGACTTAGGGTATAAGCGACTTAAACATAGAAACAGAGTGATGCTTCAGCTTAAATTAGGCACGCAAACACATAGTCGAGAAATCCTCAACTCAAATACTTAGTTGATTTGTAAAAATAGAAATTTTGTTGTAAAATTACTTTTTACTCATTTGAATTAAATTTTAGAAAAAATTGGAAAATGGTCCCTCATTAAAAATTTAATTGGTAACAATGATTTAAATCAGAATATTAGTATTTTGTATGTATAAAATTTCCAAAGTACCAATACTTAGTATGCATAAAAATTTATCTAGTTCTTCTCACCAATTAAATTTCTAAGAGGAACTTTTTCTCAATTTTCCTTAATTTTATTATTTATTATTTTTTTCTTTTTTGAATATTTTAATAAACACCAAATTATTGGATCTTTTGAAGTAATTTTATTTTTTCATCAAGGCAAGATAGAACCCACTACAAGACACTTTTTTTTTTTCGCACGGTTATTTTTTTTTCCTCCACTCAACGTGAAGAAATTAAAAAGAAACTCCATATTGGCTATTTTTGCCCTAAAAACAAATTGATCCAAAGCTCATTCAAACACAAGTAACGCTGACATCATATTTTCAACTTGTCACCGCACATTTTGGGATAAAAAAGCGGATCAACATGTACTTAGTCTCTTTAAAAAAACAACACACTTTTTTTTTTCTCAAACAACTAACTTAACTAATTATTTTAATTTATATAGTTAGTTATATAACACATACACTTATATGAAGGACAAAATACACTCAAATAAATGTTGTATTTTCCAAAGAATTTTTCAAATATCCAGAATGAGTTGAAATTTAACTTGAAATAAATAGTAGTATAATACAAAGATTAAAATTTTTTTGGTCAATTTTTGCTGAGGATAACAAGTTTTTTCCCCTACAGAAGGACTATTCAACTGTAAACATTAAATAATATTTCTATTGCCTTGCAAAATTATCACTTTGTACGTATATTGACATAATTGATAATCAATATTTTGAAATAAAATTTAAGATAAATAATTATGGGATTTAGTTTAATCTATTTATTTATCCAATAGTGATAAGAGAAATAATAACTATGATATTTAGTTTAGAAAAAATCCTAAAGAAATGATTGTTAAATTTTAAAATTCTAAATCAGTATTAATTATTATACTTGTAAAGAAAATGACTATACTCAAAAAATAATAATAATACATTTTTGTATTTATTTCTAGTTTAAAATTTTAAAATTTAACGGTCTTTTTTTTTTTTTGAGATTTTCTCTTTAGTTTAACCTATTTATTCACCTAAAAGTGATAATACTTATCTATTTTATTTGATCTGATACTTATATTTAAATATGTTAATCGGATTATGAATTATTCCCTCTGTTTCTTATTATAAGAGACAAATAACCAAATTACGTTGATAAAAAAAACAGTTAAAATTAGTTGAGGACAATTAATGTATAAAAAGTATAATATTTTTTTCCAACAATGCTCCCATTAATAAAGAGAGAGAGTATGAGAGAGAACAATTAAATTATTAAAAGAAAGAGAAGTGGGAGGGAGAGAGAGTATGAGTTGGAGACAAAATAAATAGGGATAAAATAGGAAATCAATACAAAAGAATAGAGACAACTTTTAAGTGTCTTTTATATATAGGAATATACCATAAGCATCAAATATCTCTTATAATAAAGAATGGAGTGAGTATGTTTTAATCAATATCATAGTCATACGCCATGGAAGGTTTGTAATTTTCTTTGATTTTAAAAATTAAGTTTAATTAAAGCTCATGGGCCGTAATTTTCATTTTTTTTGTTTCATTTAATAACAGCATCATTACAATCTGCCAACGAAATAACCAAATCCAATAACATAATGAAACTAAAATCGAAACAAGAAATGAGGAACTCGATGAATAGATAGGTATATACTCTATGAGTCTATGCATCTGTTTTTTCGCGGAGATCCTTGCGCGGGTTGAAGATCTTTACTCTTCAGATTCATGGCGGCAACCCAACCACAGGGTCCGGATCGTACAACCGGTACGTAGACGAGGCTGTTCTTTCGTTGATGTTAAATAGTTTTCATCAAATTTTGATCTTGACCTTCCTCAAGCTCCTTTATATTTATTTTGTTTACGTTATTTCTGCATGAAGTCAATGAATCTGCCTAAAGTGAACTCCTTGCACGAGATTACGTCAGGAAAGCTGTATAATTGTTCAAGAATTGAATAAAGTTTTCTTGTTCTAGTTCTTTGTTCCTAATTACATGTAATTGGAAAGGATATACGCAAAGCTTTGTTATGAGTATCTAAAAAGTTTAAGATTGGTGGGATTTGTTTTTGGGCATAGACTACGTTAGCTGGACCTTCGTTTAGGCTGTGCCATCGATGTCTGGTTTTCAGATCTGGCCTCTGGGTAATTTGCTTGATTAGAAACTTTATTTTTTTTGAATCCATTATAATTCTTACATATCACTGTGTGTGTTCTGATTTACTTATGTAGGATAGCTAGTGTTGAGCTGTCTGAATGCTCATTTGTTCCACGTCTCACAAAACACAATATAATTCGGCATCCGTTGAGTAGTCATTGAGAAATCTGGGAACGGCAGGACATATGTTGGTTCGATTCTGGCAATTAGTGCTACTGTACAAGTTGTATAGTTTATTTTAGGTGTTTTCTGCTTAACATTGATTAGACACTTAATCTTAAGTACTGAAAAGGGAGAAGGTATACTTACAAATGTATAATTAAATCTATGGCGAAACTATCTTAGTTTCAGTAAATCATCATCCTGTTGCCAATGCTCCTATTTAGGTTATCAATTTGTGAAATTTATATCTTTCCAATATCATTGTGTCTAAAATTACGTCAACTAAAAATTTTAACCTGTTTAGTGAACGCCAATCAATAATATAATTATAATTGGAAGAGTGCTTTTCTTTGGGTGGTGATGTGGCCAAATAGGCCTTTGTTCACTGTTGTTTGCTTGTGCATCATCGTTCCCTTTTTCCTGTCTTTATCGGCATGGCATAGAGATTAGGGAGGAGTATTAAGGATTTTCTTTGGTATCCTGCTGGAGGTCTGAATAAAGTTCATTTTGTGGAATGGGACCATTTTTTGGTAGACCAGGAGGATTGTATCCAGGAAATTTGGTGGATAAGAACCCTGCTTCAGCAGGCATGGCCATGGTGTTTTACTCAAGAGATTTCTTGATTGGCATCAGGTGATTTGCAGTGAGTATATTTTGAATCAGAATGGCTGGGGTGCCAACGTGTTGCTCCTAGCTACTCACAGGAGTCCATGGAAATTTGTTTCTCAGTGTTGTGATTCCTTTAGTCCTTTTGGTTTCATTAAGTTTTGGTGACGGATCTGCAGTCAAAGTTTTGGAGGATATTTGGTTGAGAGTATATGTTCTAGCTCTTAGGGAGGCTTCTTTATGCCTTTGCGGCATCTGCTCTGTGCATAAAATTTTCACCTCTTCTGTATTCTGCTCAGTTCTTTTATTTTAGCTAGATATTCTTCAGCTTCTTCAATGTCTATTCTCAAGAATTCTAAATGACAGGATTTCTTAAGATTTACAACCCTTGCACCTTCTTTTAGATACCATCATTTTTTCGTCCAATGTGGATATAATTCAGACTCCTGCTTCCTCTTGTCGCTATTTATGCAAATCATTCTCTAAATTTCTAATGCACTCCCCACAGAAAAGTTTGTAAATCTTAAGGATTAAGGGTTTAAGGGCATTTGGAAATCCATCCTGCCCTCTAAGGTGAAGTTGTATTTTTTGTGCTTTCTCCTAAATAGGATTAAGGGCCTCTTTGGATAGGCTTTTTAAGAAGTCACTTTTGTGATACAATTTGTTGTTTTGTTTTGTTTTTTTTTTGAAAGCCTATTTTCATTTGGGTACAATAATTAGAGTTCTTTTCAAATTACAAAATTTGTTTGGATGCAATATATCCATATCTAGATAGTTTTCCATAAATAATCTTGGGTTTAGCATTTTTAGTGAGCTAAAATGTAGTAATTAGGTGTGATTGTGCTTAAGGATTGATTATGGGAATTAATGCATTTATTGATAAAATTAATCATATTTTTATATCCCTAAACTTTTTTTATCTTTTTGATTAGATGACACTGCATTTGGATGGGTTAGGATGTAATAAATGTGAACGTATTTTTCTGTTGTTGGAGTGCAAAAATTTATGAGTTGGGTTTTAAAGATCATCAAATTTAGGGTAAGCCTCATGATTCAGAGCACTTATAGAAGTGTTTACAAATTGTTTATCAATGAGCTCTCGCATTGTTAATGGGATTCAAACCCACTTCCTTATGTGGTATGAGTTGTATCTTTAGCAATTAATGATATATACATTATAGTGGTAAGGGGGTTTTTAGTCATTGTACCGTGAGGAAAAGGTAAGTTTGGCCTTTAGAGTTAGTTATAGAGAGAGAATATGATCCTCGGACGTGCGTATGCCAGAATATATGTGCTTGTACCTACACTGCTATGTTTTCGTGAATGAATATTCTGGTTTTCCTCTCTATGTTTATCATTAAGGTATCAGAGCCTACCACCTCCGGCCATGGCTCCGCCGGAGACGCGATCCTCATCTGACCGCCTTGGTGACGTCGAAAATCGCCTCGGCCTCCAACAGACTACACTTGATTCAGTTAACGCTCGACTGGAGCAGCAATCATCCGACATCACTGACCTTAAGCTAGCTTTGCAAGATATTTCATCGAAACTTTCCACGCTGAACACATCGACGGGAAGGCGACCAACCTCGGGTGATATGGGTTCTCAGGCAACCGGCTCTCCTCGCATTCCTGCATTTGGCTCCTTTCACGAGTTGAATGCCTCTGGTTCAGGTTCTGCTTATTCCATTTCGACTAAACAGAGTCGGGTGGAATTTCCCAAGTTCGATGGGACTGATTTCTGTGGCTGGGCATACCGGGTGCGTCAGTTTTTCGAAGTCGACGGTACTCCCACTGATCAACGCATTCGCCTACTGAGTATACATTTGGAGGGCCATGCTCTGCGATGGCACCAGACATTTATGCGCCACTGATCTCTTACTGATATATCATGGGCCGATTATTTCCATCAGATGGAGATTAAATTTGCTGATGTGCGGGAGGAACATCCCCTGATTGCTCTGAAAAAACTTCAACAGTTCTCGGATTCGGTGGCTGACTATGAGCGGAAATTCGATGAGTTACTTTCTGAGGTTGATATACCTGAACCCGTTGCTATTAATCTATTTATCGGAGGTCTCCGGTCCGACATTCAGAAATTTGTTCTGAATTTTGATCCATCCACCTTGGCGGGGGCTATGTCGACTGCTCGCCTCCAGGAGTCCACAATCACTGCCCTGCATGAACACGCCCCATCGACCGTCCGTCGCTCTGGACCTCCGATGTTTGGGTCCGGGTCAATCGGTCCAGTGGGCTCCCGTTTTCAGGTCGGTTCGGACCCGAGCAGCTCGGACAAGCCCAAAACTCTTGGGACGTCTTCCGTGACTAAACCCAACACCTCTTCTGCGTCTTCGACTCCATTCTTACCGTCTTCAACGTCATCCAAAGCCACTCGCCAATTATCCAAGAAGGAAATGGATGACCGCAGGAAAAAGGGGCTCTGCTATTGGTGTCCTGAGAAATACACCAGTAGCCACCGTTGCAAGGATTCGCACCTGTTTACCTTAGTTATTGATGAAAATGATGAGTTTTTTGAAGATGCGGTGGGCGACGCGCAGATAGATTCAGTGGGTACTATCAACGCCATTGAAGGGGATGAGAAAGCTTCTACTGTGAAGCTCTTGGGCCGGATCAAAAACCAGAGCATTGTTATCTTGGTGGACACGGGAAGTACCCATAACGTAATAGACTCCTCAATGGTTAAACGACTCCTATTAAAACCCCAAGATTGTGGTGCTGTGAGACTAACCGTGGCCGATACGAGGAAGGTAACTGTTACTAAATACTGCCCCAACCTCTCGTGGGAAATGGGTAATACTTCTTTCGCTGCTGATTTCTTAGTTATGAAAGTAGGGGGTTATGACATGATTTTAGGGACCCAATGGCTGCGGACCATCGGTCGCTTTTCGATGGATGTGGACCAAAAGATTTTTGACTTTATGTATAAAGGTCAGAAAGTTGAATTGCATGGTTTAGGATATAGGGAACCGTCGGCAACAAGGGAGTTTCACTCTCTCCATGTTTTACAGGCTGCTGCTTATGCCTATCTTATTCATGATGCCTCTCATTTACATATTCGGTTGCCAACCAACTCTCACTTATCTGAGAAACAGCAACAGGACTTGACCAACCTATTACATACCTTTGCTGATGTTTTTGAGGAGCCCACCGAGTTGCCCCCTCCCCGTCCGTTTGACCATGCCATACCCTTGCATAATGACAGGCCCATTAGTTGCAAACCGTACAGATATGGTCCTACCCAGAAGACTGAAATTGAGAGACAGATACAAGAGATGCTTCATTCTGGGGTTATTCATGAAAGCTCTAGCTCGTTCGCAGCACCAGTCGTTCTTGTTCAAAAGAAAGAGGGGACCTGGCGTTTTTGTGTGAACTATCGCAAATTGAATGAGGCCACAGTAAAAAATAAATTCCCCATACCAGTTATTGAAGAGCTACTAGATGAGTTAACAGGGGCTGTCTATTTTTCTAAATTAGATCTCAGATCCGGCTATCACCAAATAAGGATGAAAGTTGATGACATTCACAAGACTGCATTCAGGACTCATGAAGGGCTGTATGAGTTTATTGTCATGCCCTTTGGGCTTACAAATGCCCCTGCAACTTTTCAGGGACTTATGAACTTTGTTTTTAAAGCTTTCCTAAGAAAATTCATCTTGGTTTTTTTTGATGATATCTTGGTTTACAGCAGGGATTGGGTCTCTCACTTGCAACACTTGACTGACACGCTTTCTACTTTGAGACAACATCGCCTATTTGCTAAAGCTTCTAAATGTATCTTTGCAGCCACTCAAATTGATTATTTGGGTCATATCATTTCTGCTCAAGGGGTCCAGGCTGATCCCAAGAAACTCGATGCTATCTGTTCATGGCCAATACCTGCTAATCTCAAGGAATTGAGGGGTTTTTTAGGCCTCACAGGCTACTACAGACGTTTTATACGTAATTATGGAGCAATTAGTAAACCTTTATCAGATTTATTGAAGAAGGATGTTCCCTTTCAATGGTCCTGTGCAGCAAATGAGGCTTTTCTGCAGCTCAAGAGGTTGATGACTTCTCCTCCAGTTTTGGCTTTGCCAAATTTTAATGAACCTTTTATTGTTGAAACTGATGCGTCTGGCACTGGTTTGGGGGCAGTTTTGTCACAAAATGGCCATCCCGTGGCATTTGCTAGTAAAGTCCTGAACTCCACAAAGAAATCTCTTTCAACTTACGAGCGAGAGGTCCTAGCCATCCTTTTTGCCGTTAAACAGTGGCGATCATACTTGTGCAGCCGCAAGTTTACCATCAAAACAGATCATTTGCCATTGAAACACTTGTTGGAGCAGCGCGATTTGAATCAGGAGCAATTTAAATGGCTTCATAAGTTATGGGGCTTGAATTATGAAATCACCTACCGCAAAGGCAACGAGAATATGGTTGCAGATGCACTCTCCCGACGCTCAGAAGGGTCTTGCTTTGCCTTGTCCAGACCTGTTTCGCCACTCTATGAGCGTGTCAGGGATTCTTGGCTAGCTGATGATCAGTTACAGCAACTAGTTCGCCGCTTAGAACAGAATCCAGCGGCTCATCCAAAGTATACGTGGCAGCACCAGCTCCTCAAACGCCAGGGTAAATTGGTTGTAGGTGCAGATCGTACCCTTCGCCATGATCTGATTTCTTTTTTTCATGATGACAGCATTGGGGGCCATTCAGGGATGCATGCCACTTATCAACGCCTTTCTTCCTTCTTTTATTGGAAAGGGTTAGAAAAAGATGTGAGGAATTTTGTGCGTGAATGCACCACTTGTCAGCGTTTCAAGCCTGAATTAAGTGCTTCTCCGGGCCTCCTACAGCCTCTCCCAATTCCAGAGCATGTATGGACTGATCTTTCAATGGACTTCATTGGGGGTCTTCCCAAATCCTTCTCTAAGTCCACAATTCTAGTAGTTGTTGATAGACTATCTAAAGCTGCTCATTTTATGGCCTTAAAGCACCCATTTACAGCTGCTGAGGTGGCTCAAATTTTTCTGGACAATGTGGTCAAATTGCATGGGTTTCCTAAGACCATTGTCACTGATAGAGACCCTATTTTTTGTGGTAAGTTCTGGAAAGAACTCTTCAGACTCTATGGTGTTAAACTACAGTATTCTTCCGCCTATCACCCCCAAACCGATGGGCAAACTGAGGTCCTCAATCGCTGCCTTGAGTGTTATTTAAGGTGTATGACAGGGGATTTTCCTAAGCAATGGGTTAAGTGGCTACCCTTGGCAGAACTTTGGTACAACACTACCTACCATTCTTCTATTGGCATGTCTCCATTCGAAGCTGTTTATGGTGTGGCGCCCCCTGTACACTTACCTTATGTGGCTGGAGATTCTCCTAATGACCTGGTGGACCGCACGTGTTTATTAAGAGAACTAGTATTACAGCTTCTGAAAGAACACTTGGAGAAGGCACAACACCGAATGGTCCAGCAAGCAAATAAGCATAGGGTTGAACGCCACTTCACAGTGGGTGATATGGTCTATTTGAAGCTTCATCCTTTTAGGCGGAATTTAATCAATAATTCCTCCCTCCACAAGCTGGCAGCTCGCTATTTTGGCCCTTATCAGATTCTGAAAAAAATAGGCAGTGTTGCTTATGAACTCAAACTGCCTCTAGAAACGCGAGTCCATCCTGTTTTTCATGTCTCTCTCCTCAAGAAACATGTTGGTCCTGCAGTAGCGTCAGCCCCGTCCTTGCCACCTACTGATGATAATGGCCAGTTTATGCTCGAAACTGAGACCATCTTGGGGCGTAAGATAATTAAGCGCCACAACCGCCCTGTCACCCAAGTCCTGATTCACTGGAAGTTTACTCAACCTGAAGATGCCACTTGGGAGGACCTCACTGCCATTCAGCACCAGTTCCCTCAGTTCCAAACCACTGCACCAGCCACTCGTCATATCCTTGTGGACAAGGATTCTCTTGCAGGGGGGAGTATTGATATATACATTATAGTGGTAAGGGGGTTTTTAGTCATTGTACCGTGAGGAAAAGGTAAGTTTGGCCTTTAGAGTTAGTTATAGAGAGAGAATATGATCCTCGGACGTGCGTATGCCAGAATATATGTGCTTGTACCTACACTGCTATGTTTTCGTGAATGAATATTCTGGTTTTCCTCTCTACGTTTATCAATTAACCTAAAATTCATTGGCATGTAGGAGTACTAATGTAGCTAAAATTATTAATTAAAAAAAGCATAAATAACAATGCCTTTCTTGGTCAAATGTGTTGAGCAAGTTATTTAAAATCTGAATCCAGTTAAGTGATTAACTAATAATATGCTGATAGTAGAAAGTAAAGTTTCCAAAAAGGAAGCATATAAATGAAGAGCAACATACTTGCAACCATAAAAGAGGATTCATGTATTCTCTAATGGTGTGAATGAGCATGGGTCCTGGAATAATACGCATACTTTAGTGGTTATAACTATGGAATAAAGGAGAAGAGGGAGCAAACAAGAAAGAAGAGGGATAATCATAATAGAGGTTTGGTAGAAGTCTTAGACATTTAACAATCTTAGCAGCTACATAATTCCTGGTTGAGTGGGTTTGCTTACATTATGAAGAGGAGTGATCTTACAAAAATGGCAGAAGAAGAAAAAGAGAAGAGCGGATGTTGGTGACTCTTGTAGAAGACTAAATTTTAGTTATTATGAAAACTCAAAAGATAATTTATCGAAACCTGATACTTTATCAAAACCTGTCATGAGATGCTTTATGGACTCTGTTTTTCCATATAATAACTTTCACATGCGCTTCTTAAGGAAGCTAGAAATCCTTGGCTTCAATAGGAAGCCCAGTTTTGACTTTTTCAATGCTTCTATTTTCGTGAGAAGCCCATTCAGACACATTTTTTAAATAGAAATTATTTTTTATTGAAAGAAATAGCCCATCATAGGCTCATGATACTGATGCTTTATTGGAGGTTCCTTGGCCCCATTGCATCTCCTTCTGTTTCTATCGTCTGCATGAATAATTCACAATCTGTTGCACATGATTTTTTTCCCCCAGTAAGTACATGTATCTTTCTATTAGAACCAATTTTATTCGAGATACTATCGGGTACCAAATTTGGGCACCTCTCCCAAGGAGGATTCAGACCTTAGTTCACCAGGTGTTGTACATAATTTTTTTTTTGACTGTTGAGTTGCTTGATTTTTGTGGAGTATGCTATTTGGAGTTTTTGGAGAATAGGTGTTTCTTCCATTACTTGACAGTTTTCCAACCAATAATATTTAAAAGAGCTTGGTAGCCAAAAAGAGACTAGAGCTTTGTAGCAAAGTCTTATGCAAAATTATAGATATTTGGAGAGGAATGCTTTTTTCAAGGATTCTCCATATTTGGAGACTTTGTGGTATAGGATAATGTTCATGGTCTCACTATGGTTCGCTCCTGATGTTTTCTGGTTTTCCTTTTTTTGAATGGGTTGGGATAAAACGTGATGTATTACGATGGGTGCTTAAGTGGGATAGGAAATTCTGCCCCAAAAGCTAGCTATTGAGGTGGGAGAACCAACACATTTAAATACTAGAACCAGTTTCGGTGCTAATCGTAGTGATGAGCATATCAAGTCTCAACCAATCAAATTTAATATGGATGATTGTAATTTAATATTTAATGTTTTTGTTTTTTAAAAAGTGTTTTTGTTTTTAATAGTTATATAATCCAAAATAAATGTAATCTCCTAAATGTAAGTTTTTTTAAAAAAATAAATTTTTTATTTAAAAAATGACTAGTTGAAAATTTTAAATTTAGACCATTAAAACTATATTTGAATGATTTAGATTTCATTGCATCGATGAGCATTATGGTGCTCATCACTGAGATGAGGACTGAAATTAGTTCCCTTAAATACTCTATTGTGCATCCCATCCATTCTACTCAATACGGGACTTGGTATCTCATACTACCAAGTTCCTATCATTTGGCCTCCTATGAAAAGCTGACGTCCCGGTGGCTACACTTCACGGTGCTGCACTCAGCATCTTACTAGTCAAAACCCTCTGTGGTAACCGCCGATAGCCTGGCATTGATATCAATTGATAGATACCTAAGGGGGATGGGGAAACCTACCCAAGAGCTAGCTGTTGAGGTGGGAGAACCAACCCACTTAAATATCCTATTGAGTATCTCATTCTACTCAATGTGGGATTTGGTATGAATAGAATTAGAAGTAGTTAGGCAGAATAGGGAAGAGAGATTAGAAGGAGGAAACCGGAGAAAGACATGAGATCAGAGGGAGTAGGAGAAGATGAGAGAAAACTGAGAACTTAGCTGAATAGTGTGCACTTTCATTAATCTGAACAATCATCATACATTTGGATAGCCTTTCTGGCTATTTATAATGCCATAGACTTATCGATAACAAATTTGACGGAAATACAACATAAAACCCTATCTAAATGTCTAACGGCTAGTAACGGTTACTTGTCCTTTGATATTTAAATTTAATTACAATTACACATCAAAATGCCTGCTTGGTACTTGAATAGCAAATACAAATTTACCTTCGTCTATTTAATTTGTGTGCATAGGCTTGTATATGTGGATTTGTGTCATGTAGCTATAGCTTCAAGTTTTGCTATCCTCAAATTTAGATTTCATTGGGCATAATTTGCACTGCCTATGTTTCTAAGATTGTACTAAGTCACTGAGCATTCTAAATGATGCAGAAGAGGTAGCAGCTGAACCAGACAAAATGAAGGATCAGGTAATGTTGAATCTCTGGTCCTTTAATTGTGCTTTGTGCTTATGGTTCTTTTTATGTTGATGGCATTTAATATCTTTATAAAAAACCTCTTCTGTGCTTTGTCAGCTTCATTCGTCAATACCGGGTAGGTCAATTTCTTCTAATGCCTCTCAGGATGCTACCACGGGTCATTCAAGGGAGACAACAAGTCAATCAGGATCGTTTGTTTCAGGTGGAGGCTGTCCTCTATACCCACCTAATGTATATGCACCGCAGCCCCAGGCTTTCTTCTACCCAGGTTAATTTTATTTGCACAAATTCTTATTGTTCTTTAAAAAGAACTCTCATTTTGTAATGTTGGTCAAAATCCTTTTTTGGCCTTAAAGGTATTGTTTTGCTCCAATTAAATCCACAAGTTCGAAAAATGTTGCTATCAGGAACTTTTGGGAGAGCTTTATCCCAAAAGCTGAGTTGGGGGAGAATTGAGATCCCTATAAGCTGCACCTCAGAATCCCATACTACTTGTGCAGAACTCCAGTCCCTTACCTTGCGATGGATCCAAAGTGTTCCAAATAAATTCCAGAGGGCAGAGGCTGATGTTATTACTTCCTTAAAGATAATGCAGCATCTTATGCAGCATGTGACGTGGCAATTTTTTACATGTATATCTGGCACTTAATTTGCCACCTTAACATTGCATTTCTGTTTCTCTCTCACTCTTCCTCCTTTTATTCTCTTTCTCTGTTCCTTCCCCTCTTGCTGGAGTTGATAAATTGCTTAACCTTTGCCACTTCTGGGCCTCAACATTCCTGCAACCATAAATTGGATTCTATGCTTCCTCTGCTCCGTTCTCTTTCTCTCTCCTCTCTGTTTGTAGACTGGATAAGAAGTGTAATGAAATGAATGATTAGAGAGAGCACATCTAGAGTAGATAGGAAATGTTTGAAGAATTATTGGCGAAGACTGAGGGATTCCATAGAAGATGTTGTGTTTTGGTGCAAGGATAGTCATGGGCTGAAAATTGGACCATCTCTCCACAAATTTGATCCCTCAATTCCAATATCTCTATTATTCTTTTCAATATTCCCAATACCTAATAATCTAATATTCAAATAAGACCTTGATTGCAGTTTTTTTGCTGGAAGTAAAATATTCTTCTTTACTAGTTAGTGCTATCCAAACGTAAAGTTTCAAATGAAAATTTTCATTTTACTTTTGCCATAGTGCGGACCTAATATAGGACTAGGACATTGATCATGTCCTTGTAAAGAGGGGAAAACCAGAGTTTTAATCATCTAATAAAGTGCGAATCTGAATAAGCATAAGAATGGAACATAATGGAGATAGGTTGTCAAACTTAGTATTGTTTAGGTTTTACTTGAAAGTGAATGCATTTTCAGTTGAGAGATGTTGTCAAAATCTTGAATACTTTAGTTTATTATCTAATTCATTATTTTGTTCATTAGGATTTCTTAGTTCAGCAATTTCTTGAGGAATTGAGTGGCCTTGATAGTAAATGATTGAACCATATCTTATACATTGAGATTACCTGTACAATTTCATATTTTTCAAATTATTATTCAGTTAGATTGAGTTCGCTGATGTGTGTGGGTTTATAAAACTAATCTGTAATGCCTTTTCATGAATGAAATATATTTATTTCTCTATTTTTTTCCGGATTGGCAAGCTACTGCTTGCTGGCCAGTTCAAACCTGAGTTCCATGTGTCGAAGGGTGCATCCTGCGCCATCAGGCCAAGAGGCCTTCAACTATTTATTTCTCTTTTAATAAGCTATAACATAATTGAGGACATGTTCATGATCTGTTCGCATTTGTTCAATTATCAGCTGTGAATGTCAGCAACCAATCATTACGGAAGAAATAAGTTTAAAAAAATAAAAATCTTAGTTATCTTCCCTTTTAATTGCATATTGTGTTGTGTATGCTGAGGTTGCAGGGAATCACTATTCTGATTTTTTTTTTTTAAAATCTATTTTTGCAATGTGAGTCTGATCTCAGGTTTTGAAAGTGCCAATGGAGAATGGGACGATTATCCTTCATATATCAACTCTGAAGGATTGGAAATTGGATCGCCTGTGAGAATTTGGCTCTTCCTTATCTAAATATATATACATATATATTATACATTTTTTGTGATTCTCAATATAATGTAATTTTTCTTACATTTATACTAGGGTCTCTACAATGATAATCCATCTCTTCTTTTTCATTCTGGATATGGCTTCAACCCACAAATGCCTTATGGACCATATTCCCCTGTGACAACACCTTTGCCTTCTGTAGGTGGAGATCCACAATTATACTCCCCCCAGCAATTTCCGTACTCTGGGCCACCTTATTACCATCAGCTAGTTTCCCCCAGCTTACCCTATATTTCTTCACCAGCTCCAACTTCCCAGCCAGAGCTGACTAACTTGGTAGGTGTTGATCGACCAGGTGATAGCATGGTTTTGGGACCTAGACCTGGCTACCCCTCAATGGGATCATTTGGTAGAGGTAGTTTTCCTGGAGCACCTGGTTCCTTTGGCTTTCATGATTCCCAACAAGGATTTGATGGATCAAGATCTGCGGGAAGTGGAATCTGGTCTGATAGCTCAAAACCCTCAGAAAGGCAGATGTCCATGATGCCCCTATCACCAGCCGTATCTCCACAGCCACTTGGGTCACTTGGGTCATTTGGGTCATTTGGCCAGAGTGTTGGAATGGTTTGTTCTACTACTTGTGCTCTATATGCAAACTGTTGTAATATTAAATTTTAAAATTTTGAAATCTAGAACATAAACAAGTTCTTTGATACCTGGGTTCCCACTGCCACCAATCAGGATCTTCTGTCTGTTTAAAGTGCTTAGAATGGCATTGTTTATGGGGAAAGGAAAATTCTAATTTCTGAATGAATTAAATGGTCTGGGTGTTTTCTTAGTCTCGACCTTCATATGACATCCTTAGCCCAATAACCGAACGAGCTATGTTACTCTTCTAACGAAGGGCATATATTGTGGTTAACTGTGGTTATCTTTTCTTGCATCTTTGCATTACAAATCTACTGCTGTCTACCTGTGGAACTTGATGGATAATAACATAGAATTATGCTTGAGACTCATGCTGCTGATGTTCTTGTTACTTTGCAGGCTTCTCATCAACAACCACCATTGTATGGGTTTGGATCTGGTTTAAACTCCTATGGTAGAGACTATGTGCCTAACCAGGGCTCTAGGTTTGGTGGCACTGCCATTTCCAATCTTGGTGTAAATGACAGGAACTGGCTTTCTCTTGAAAATAGCAGACGGCGTGACAGGGGAATAGCTCCATTTTGCGGCTGTGATGGTACTCATGATATACTCAGCGAACAGAATCGAGGTCCTAGGGCCTCAAGACTTAAGAATCACTTGTTAGCTGAAAATGTTTCTGTTGATAATAGTAAAAGCTCTTCTACTACAAAGCTCCAGAATGAATCATTTAACCAGCCAGAATTTATCACAGATTACAAGGATGCCAAATTTTTTGTCATCAAATCCTATAGTGAAGATAATATCCACAAGAGCATCAAATATGGTGTCTGGGCCAGCACACCAAATGGGAATAGGAAGTTAGATGCTGCATATCGCCAAGCAAAGGAGGAGCAAGATGCCTGCCCTGTATTTCTCTTATTTTCGGTAATAATCTGATTTCTCTGTCTTATAAACGCAAATGTTGCACTCCTATTTTCTCGCTATAGTAGCTATAACTTATCCCTTTGGCATTGCGACAAATATAGGCTTTTCTTAGAATTTGTTTCTATCCGTTGAAAATGTTGTGTGAAATGGAGTGTATCATACCAACAATGGAAGCTTGCAAAATGAAGGATAGCTGACTCTGATGCAAAGTTGATGTAGACATGGGGGTAATAGGAGAAGATGAAGACAACAGTAAGGACCCATGAAATGGAATTTAATCCCATGATATAGAAGTTTGAGGAACTCTAAATTTCTCTCATATTTTCTGCTGTGGATAGTTATCTTACGTTGAACAAGTGTTCATCATGGTTTGGTTAGCGTGTATCCATACATGAGTGCGTGCGCACACACTGCCCAAGATACTGCTTTGGCTATAGTTATTTCTTGTAGCACATTTTATGCTTGATGTTGGTACTTAAGTTTTTGATCAGAGGAACCAAACACGGTTTCTGAAATTTATGCACATTTTATTGGTTTTACCTTTTGTTTCTACATGAGTAGTGTGAAAATGAATCATGCTTGCAACTACATCTAGGTGAATGCTAGTGCTCAGTTTTGCGGGGTTGCTGAAATGGTGGGGCCTGTTGATTTTGACAAGAGTGTGGATTATTGGCAACAAGATAAGTGGAGCGGACAACTTCCTGTCAAGTGGCATATAGTTAAAGATGTTCCTAACAGTCAGTTTCGACACATTGTCCTTGAAAATAATGATAACAAGCCTGTGACCAACAGTCGAGATACTCAGGAGGTAGGAATCTGAGATCAATACCCCCGCCCCCCCCGGGGGGAAATTATGTATAATCCATTTACAGTTCTTATTCTTTTTGTTTTAAAATATTTCGATATGGGGAGAACAGAAGTTGAAATAGATGTGACCGGCCTGTGGTATATCTAGCCATAAGGGTTAAGACATTAATATTTCCAAGCAATTAAAAAAGCTTAGCTATTATCTTGAGAAATCGTCTCATGCATCTAGGCAACATAAACATTATACATGGTCTTTATTTTTTAGGTCCCTCATGCGTAGTGATGATTTATGGGTCTCTTATTCCTTGGTGACTTAAGTTTTATTAATTTGTTTCCATCAGTTTCGTCTCATAAACCTGCAAATGGGTTTCCAATTTCGTTTGATTATCTGCAGTTAAAATGTCATCGCCATTAACTGTTTCCTTTTGACAGTAACCCTCCACTCACATCTGTTGTTTCTTGCACCTCTGAATTTCGAGCACCTCAGGTGAAATTGCAACAGGGGATTGAAATGTTGACCATTTTCAAGAATTATGAAGCCGAAACATCTATACTAGATGACTTCGATTACTATGAAGACCGGCAAAAGGCTATGCAAGAACGGAAGGCAAGGCAGCAAACCAGTCTGATGGGTATAACAGTTGGAGAAGGTGAACGCAAGAGTTCTGCTCCTGCCAACATCAATGGTGATTTTATGAAGCAGATGTCAAAGAGCTTTGCACAAGTTGTTCGCTTAGAAGACAATAGCACTGAAGCAACCGTTACCGATAGAGGTAGTTTACCCACCGATGCCTCCAATGGTACTGTTGTTAAGCTGGAAGATGGTATTTCTGTGACTAGCTCCTCACTCCAAACCAGTTAGGAAGGCGGCATACCCTGTTGTGCTGGAAGTTTGAAGCACTCTGAAGTATTTGGTGGGTTACTAACTGGGATTCATGCTTGCTTTACCTTATTACCTTTGCAGGAAATTGCTACTGGTGTCATTAAAGTGATTGAAGTTTATGGTGTTTCTAAATGGAAAAAAGGTTTTTCTGAAGGATACATGGCAACATAAAAGGGTGGCTTTTCATGTATAATGTTTCTTGAGCGCGTCGCTTTTATTTGTAGTTTTCGTTGTTTCTCCCAGCACCGCACTTCTGCTTATTTCAGAAGATTGAATTTCAATGATCCCCCTCCCCTTTTTTTCTTTTTCTTTCTTTTTTTTTTAAATAATAATTTTGGGTCAGGGTAGTTTGTTAGCCATGTGTTATATTTCAATATTTGTAAAGTGCGGTTTTCCTCAATAAAGCAAGCAAGCACCTTTGAATGAGAACCCTGTAAACTGAAGTATCTTTATTCTTGCCCTGTTCTGGAGGTAATCTCCTCGCAGTTGATATATGGCCGAATGAGTAACATCTTGCGATTTTAAGAAGGAAACAATTCTGAATCAGCAAAAACTTTTGGCCCAAAAAGAATGGAAGAAAAATAAAACTAATCTCTCCGTTATTGTTATAGTTTCAGCAAATCTTGAATCGGGTCTTTCTAGATTTTTTTTCCCCCTACTCATTTATGTTTTCCCAATTATGTATGTTGGTCTTTGAGCTGACACAGGTGATGCGGCACTGTTATGCAAATTTCATGAATGTAAGAGAAGGATCGCCACACGTAAGTGGCCAAACATTCAGAATTGGAATAAAAAAGAATTACAAGGACCTGATTCAATATATGTTGAAATTACAAAGATTAAAAGATTAATTTTTTTCCTTATTTTTTTGAATAATACTACCTCCAATCCTATATTTAGCTAGTTGATTAATTTGAGTAGATTAAGAAAATAAGTTAAGTTAGTTATTTGTAGTAATGAGGTGTTATCTTTCTTAAAATATTCTTACTAATCAAGTGTATTAGTTAGACATGCCATTATTAGAATGGCTATTTTGGAAAAAAAAAAGGATAAATATAAGAGACAACATGAATTAGAGTTTTATATTTAAGATCAAAATAAAAATCAAATAATGTCTTATATTAAGAACTAGAGGTAATACTGAACTAAAAACCAACCAAGTCATGAGGTCCAGGTTCCTCGTCAATCTCCACATCATTTAAATGAGGGGGTGGTTAATCCAAGATACAAAAATTGTAATATGAACTATAAGCTAGTTTAAATAGGCAATTGATCACCTGTCATGTAAGTTCTCAAATTAATTAACTAAATTAACCCCATATAGTATAGATATCAATCTAGGGTGTTTTTTTCTATGAGGAGTTTTGTTAAAATTTTGAAAACCTTTTTAATTTTTTTTTTAAAAAAAGTGATGCAGAGATGGAAGGAGTAGGAAAGAAAATTGATTGATTTTTTAGGAAAATAAATTAAGAAAAATAAAAGGAAAATAACAATGATTAAAAGAAAGCAAAAGGAACAAAAACTTAACAAGAATGATGCACTTGTTGAGAACATTGATGAGTGGCTATCATGGTTTAAAAGGATGAGGAGTTTGTATAAAAACAATTATTAAGTCAAAAGAAAAAACCTTAAATAACATCTAAGTCATCCTTAATTAATTAATAATTATACCTAAAGAGCTACTCCCTCCGTTCCTTATTATAAGATACATTTGATGCTTATGGCATGTTCCTATATATAAGAGACACTTAAAAGTTGTCTCTATTTTTTTGTATTAATTTCCTATTTTACCCCTATTTATTTTGTCTCTAACTCATACTCTCCCTCCCTCCCACTTCTCTATCTTTTAATAATTTAATTGTTCTCTCTCATACTCTCTCTCCTTATTAATGGGGGCATTGTTGAAAAAATATATTTTACTTTTTATACATTAATTGTCCTCAACTAATTTTAACTGTTTTTTTTATCAACGTAATTTGGTTATTTGTCTCTTATAATAAGGAATGGAAGGAGTAGTATATAATCATTTTTCAATTAATCATTTAAAATACTACTTAACTTGTGAATTTAATTAAACAATTATATCTTGTTTCTTGAGAAGAGTTATCTATCCAAAACCTTAGAGCGTGAACTACTTGTACAAATCAAATAAAAATATATAAAAATAAACACTTATAAAATCATGAGGAAACTAAAAATATATTTATTAAAAGCTTCAAAATATAATTGTTCAACTAAAAATACAAATCAAATATCAGTTCACAAAAGAAATCAAAATCCTAACCTAGAAAATTTATAAAAACAACATCCTAGTGGATTGAAATATGAAAACCAACAAACCCCCTAATATAAACAGAAACTTAAGTCACGTCATCTTGTTCTTAGAAATAAAGAGGACTAGCCACACATATGGTTAGGTGACACCATAATGATAAAAAAAAAATAATGAAAAGAAGATAGTGAAACAACTGGACAAAAGAGGAAGCCAAGTGTCTGCTAGTGTAGATGGCTTCATTGCTTCTCCAAGGCTCCTTTGATCTCCTTTCAAAACTTTTGAATATGTCCTAGTTAGATGAGGAAACCCTTGAGACTTCTAGCTTAATCTGTTATCTTCTTTTATATTGTAATTTTGATAGAACTTTGAATTTGAATTCTCTTGATTTGGTGTGATCTTCATGGCAACTAAAGTGAAAAAAACTTTCGAATTTAAATGACATTGGATAAAAGGATAATATTTCAAATTTGAATAAAGATATGGTGGTGGGATGAATTGGAGTTAGGGTTTAGAAAAAAGATAAAAATGATAATGTGGATATTTGAAAAATTAACTGAATAATGGATATATGAATAAAATATTATTCAAATTCAAAATACGATAAGGGAATTATCTAAAAAAAAATTAATCATTCAAGCTCTTTAATTTATAGTGGAAGATAAGAGATATTTTAGATAGATATTTTGGATAATTTCCAATTAGATAATTGGAAAATTCTCTTTCAATGTCAAGTGGCTGTCACAAATCTAGTTTTCACAGGGTTCATGTTTTGCTTGACAGAATATTTCCTGGAATCAAAGCAAAGATACCTTTCAAAAGAGAAATTATAAAAATATAATAAAAATACACTTTTAAGCAATTAATTTATATAATTTTTTTAAATTAAAATATGAGTATCTTTTACATTTTAAACTTTTTAAATGTTATAAAATCTCTTAATTATATGTAAAAATATATTATAAAATAGGGATACATTATTAATCAACACTAACAATGTTCTCCCTATAATTGTTTGATCATAACATTCGAGTCCCTATGAAGTAATAGTCTTATTTCAATTGAATTGAAAACATTTCATTTTAAACTTTTGATTTTATTGGCAAAGAAGAGGGCGCCATGTTGGTTTCTTGTCATTAGCAAGATTCACATTTGGCATCTTGGAAGACACCTCTTACTAGCTTTTCAAAATTCCTAGGCACATGTATTCTCCTATTAAACGCATTTTAAAACGCATTTTAATTAGAGACACCTGTCGAGTACTAAATATAAACACTTTTTTTAGTGAAAATTTAAAGTTTGATTTGTTATATTGTGAAATATTATCTCTATTACTAGACCCAACCCTATTAATGATTGAGTTGTTTTTGTTTGTACATCTAACTCACCGAACAAGGTCTAAGAGAAAATTCCTCTACCATCCTTGCACCCTTTTCTTAACCTTATCGGTAACAAAAGATAGTGTCTTGGCTTTAGATATTTTCTTTTTCAATTATTATATACAAGTTGAAGAATAATTTTAAAAATATAATATCTATTTATTACAAATAATTAACTTTAACAAATTTCTTTAAATTATTCGAATTAGTCAAAATAGTTCTTATTGTTTGTTGAGTTATGATGGGAGTCTTTCCGTTGGCAACATTGTTAATTTAACTAGACGGGTTGATATGGCTCGTCTCCTTCCTCAACTTCTCTCCTTCCTCCCTCCAGTCTCCTTTACGCCAAAACTATTATTCGATGTTCTCCCTCCATTGTCATCGTCTTGCTTGCTGGCCAGTCTTTCCCGCGCACAATCCCTACTCTCCCTTCCTTGATCCCCTTCCATTCTCACTCACTCTCTCTTTTCTCTCTCTACAAGGACTAACAAATTAATTTTTCTTTCTTAAAAATAACACTACAAAATGAGTCATATATTTAGAACCGAAAAGGATACCAATTAAAAGTCAAAAACGTCAATTATATTCGGTGGAAAACTTCGAGAACAACACAAATTTGCCTTTAAAATTTTTCTCCTTTTATGTAAATCGCATTTAATTTAACTTTATAAAATTCAAAGTCAGCAATATCCGTTATGTTATATGGAACGTATATCATTCACAATTTCAGCGACATTTTCTAGACCACAATAAAAAGGGAAAAAAAGTAAAAAACTTCAAATTTTTATTCTGAATTGACGTCCAAAAAATTGCTATCCGGAAAGAAAAGAACCAGGCGATAATTGCCCCAGAAGAAATAAATCGATTGATTTTATTTAAAAAAAAAGGGAAGAAAAGAAATCGATTTGAGGAGTACAGTGCAAGACTACAAGCACTCATCGGATATATCTCTCGGATAGCCAGTCTGAGAGAGAGAGAAGATTCCGAGCAGTGGACAAATTTAGAATGATGATTGTCGTTGACACCATCGTAACGACGGTGATGAGTGTATGGAAGGCATCATCCGAAGAACTTTCCCGGGAAAACCTCTATGGTGGCTGGGCAACGCTTATTGTGCTGTTTATTTTATTGATGCTTTGGCAGTTTAGTAGGTTTTTCTTGGCCTATTGTTCTCCATCCAAATCCGTTTTGGTTTCAGATTCTTTCCGCCCAATGAATTCCAGGAGCAGGTAGAGTCGTTCACGTGACTACTCTTGTTTGTTCTTTTGTTCAAGTTTCTAGCTTGTGTCATGTGCACTATCAGAAAATAGTATTGTTTCGCAGTTGAGTTTCCTAAATCCATGTGCTGCTGCTGCCTGTATTGAATTGGTGTTTTCTTGCCCTGGGGAGTCTCTTTTCTATCAGTTTATGTTGGAATTCACGGCTTTCTTGGAAAATAGGTTTGAAACATACATGGCCTAACAAGGGGAGAAGGTTAACGCTTTATTGATGTCTGCTGATAGATGTAAAATCTATCTGGTCTTACTGCTTAATAACATTTTTATTTAGATATTCTGAGGCTAGAATGTGCTTATAATCGGCCAATAGCGGTCATTATTTAACATTTTGACCTGAAAGAATAAGCGTAACTTTACTCCAATCAGTTAATCAGTTAAAGAAAGTCTATACATATGTAAACGATATGTATTATCAGGTGAACTTACTCTTCAATTTTACACACATTTTTAACTTATGTAAGTTTGCTTTACTTTCTTCAAGATAACTTCCTTTTTCTGCAAATATGCCTTGTGTTTCTATCACTACACACGTGAAGGGAAACACCGATTTGTGATCAACTCTACCAAATTTAATTTTCTCATATGAAATGGAATTTTATTAGTGTAAGCAGCAAGAAGATTTAAGAGTTGATAAACTAACATTTGATTTTCTTGGATTGATTGATGGTAGAAAATTGGCGGGTTGAAAGTTTTTGGGTTCTAGCTTTCTAGGGCAATCCATGGGAGTAGGGATGGTGGTTTTCAAAGGAAAGTGTTTTTATTCAATAATTTCCGCTGAAGTAACAGGTCTGGGTAGGTAAGAGAATTGAAGAGAACAGAAAAGTAATTGACAAGAAAAAAGTAAATTAGCCTAGTGCCTTACTGCACAACACACCAGATGGTTGTCCCCCAAGTGATAAGATATACTACACCAGCTATTATTATTTTGAGAAACTTCGAGAGGTAGATGGAAAGTTGAGCAATTTCACATGGTCAACCAAGAGAAAAACAACTTTCTTATTAACTCGCATCCTTCCTTTTCATCTAGAACTGCTTATTGAGTTGGGAATGATATTCAATTTTAGTTCTGTGAGGAACATTGGATGGGAATTCTTCATTGTCAATTTTTTCCCTCAACTTCTGAGTTATCAGCATTGGATTTTAATTTTTATCAGAGTTTTGGTTTTTCTGTTATTCATGGATGTATCTTGAATGGTTAGTCATCCTGGAAGTTTTGTTTTGCAGAATATCAGAATTTGTGACAGATGCAGATTTGAAGTTTTTAATGGAAAACTTGGATGAGTTGTTCCATGAAAATGATAAGTGGGAAGCTGTCATAGATAAAAGCAACAAGAATCTGTCCTACTATGCAAAATGCTGTAAGCCAAAGGTATTGATGTCAAGTAATTCAATTTTAGTGGACTCATGAATCAATCTTAGTGCACGCTCACTTTGTAAATTGTAATGACAGTATCATGTTGATTTTACGAATTTTGTGTGTCTGTTGGTCTGAAGTTAATAATGTTATAATTAGCATATGCTAAGTAAAACAACTAACGAGGTCCTACTTTTTTCTCCAACACTCACAACGTACAGGCTGGATAACACAAATTTAGAATGAAACCACTGTCAGCCGCCCTTGCATTTGCTCTGCCTCTCATCCTCTGATCTTCCAATATGTTTCATTAGTAGCTTAGTAATTGGTATGTTCAGGCTAGGGAGGGTAGTAAAGAAAAAAAGAAAGTGTTGGCAGCTAAAGCAGAATTGGGCCTTGGGCCCTAATTAGCATTAGTTTGAAATTTAAATTTCAGATGCAAGCTAGTATCTAGGAGTGTTATTCTGTTTTATCATTATTATTATTTGAATTTGTATCTTTTTGAATTTCGCAGAATCTGGGCCTATCACTAGGATCTCAGCCTATCTTCCTCATCTAATTGAGGATGCTATAATCTATTTATTTCACTCCTCCTACTCGAATATTATGCAATTCAGAACTGTAAGAGTTCTTTGCAAAGAAATTTTTTTGGGAGAATTACTATGAGGTCCTAAGGAAAGATTTAATTACTAAAAAGTTTCAACGACAAGTGAGCAGCATAAACCAGTTGTCATTTCTTACACTCGGATTTGTCATTATATGCTCCTCAGTTGTCAATGGGCTTCAGGGTAATTAAATCCCTTCCTTGAGACCTGACTGCAATTCCCCCGATTTTTTTTAGCTGATTCTCTCCTTTACACACCATGGAACAAAGTCGTTATATGTTTATTCTTGTTGACAGAATTAATTCATAATTAGTGGTTAAGTTGTCAGGACGTTACATCCTATTCTTTTTGCTTTTTGCAATTGTGATCCTTTCATCTCATAACTTCTAATTGAGTAATATCTACACAGATGTTATATACCTTCTAGTTGTAGAACACTGTCTTTCAGATTTTATGCTATGGTATAGTTATTATTGCATTAATGTTGCAGGATGGTCCTCTGAAGTACTTGAGCATGACTGTATTTGATGAGGTTTCACCTGAGGTGCTAAGGGAGTTCTACTTGGACAGTGATTACAGAAAGAAGTGGGATAAGACTGTGGTTGAGCATGAGCAACTGCAGGTGGATAAATCTAGTGGTATTGAAGTTGGCCGTACGATAAAAAAGTTTCCTCTTTTGAGCCCCAGAGAATATGTGCTGGCTTGGAAATTGTGGGAGGGAAGGGATAAAACATTCTACTGTTTTATAAAGGTAATGCACCTAATCATGTCTGCCTTGTCACATTATGCTGCAGATGCTCGTGATTAATTCATATATGGCAAATTATATGGAATCGTTACAGCTACAATTCCCCCCCCCCCCCCAAAAAAAAACCCTTAAATAAAAAAATTGCCTTTTTGATGTCATATCATATGACCACAAACTTTGATAGGAGTAGGTAACAATAAGTTAAATAGTAAAGTTATTTGTTGATCAAGATATTAGAGATTATGATAGGAATCCACTATCATCTCATGCACCAATACTCAGACGCACAGCAGAGGATCTTCTGTGAAAATGCGAAATACTTCTGACAGTGGAGGTAAACCTGCCACTTACACAAGGAAAATCGCAACAGCAACAAGATCTATCAGACTATCCTCACCCTGCACGTAGATACCAATGCCCTCAAATAACATCCTCATATACACTCAGACACAATAACTCAGAGCCAATTACAGATGCAAACAAGATTCAGAGAAGGACTAGATCTGCGAAGATAAAACTGGTCCCCCAACATATACCTGTATGGGACTGATAAAATGAATAATAAAGATAGTCTTATTAACTTGCAGAGTTATAATCCCTTATCATAAATTTAGTTTTCTCTATTCTTTTGCCCTGCAACATGATGGCATTTAAATTCTGTGACCATGCACGAGCCACACACTCCCCCCCCCCCCTCCGTGGGAAAAAAAGAAAGAAAAATCTTGGTTTGTTTGGAGAAAAGGTACTTTCTTCTGATGGTGGCACGTTTCTATCTTCAAGTTGCTCCATTTTCTAGTGAGAACTTACATGCACAATACGGTGACAGATTAAGTTGAAAGTCAATAATAAATATTGTTGAAAAATATTGTAATTGTAAGAGTCTTTTTTAATGTATCTGTGGGATGCCTGAGGAACTGGTGCCTCTCTCTCCTCCTCTCTCTCTATGCTGTTGATTTTGCTCAATTTGTTCTGGCTCATTTTTCAAATAACTTTTTTCTCCCATTTCTGGTTATGATTCTTTTTAGGAATGTCAGCATCCTTTGGCACCATATCACAGAAAATATGTACGGGTTAAATTTTTCAGATCTGGCTGGCGAATTAGAAAAGGTAGGCTAGTGGCTGGTTTGTTTGCTTAAATATTTCCAGATCTGGCTGATGAAGACCAGCCTCTTTTATTATTTCCATTCAAAAGTTATTTTTTGATCCTAAGGAAAGAAAAATGTGAAAATCTTCCAAATTAGCATGGCTTGTTATTTTGAGAAAATTATACTGAGTTGAAATGGATATCATGACAACCTATTTATATATTTACATTGAAAAGCTTGCTCTCATTCATCAGTACTTGAACTCCATTTTTACTTAAATTTGATTGTTTCTCAACAGTGTAATACGGATTACTGAGTGAGTGAGTTTTAGATATAAAGAGACTGTTATATGACTAGTATCTATTTAAGTACAGTACCTGGTAGAAATGCCTGTGAAATCACGATGTTCCATCAAGAAGATGCTGGTTTGAATACGGAGTTGGCAAAGCTGGCTTTTGCTAGGGGCATATGGAGTTACGTGTGCAAGATGGATGATGCACTCCGCAGGTATTCCAGTCGATCAAGTTCAGTTACCACTTCAGCCAACCTAATGCAGAAGGTCAGTGCTATTAGTGCACTTATAATCATGTGATTGAGAGTTATATTTTGAAGTAAAAGTTCTAGTGTTTCAAAGTTGATGCCTTGTATTGTATTTACGGGTAATTTGCTTTGAGGTGTTATGCTAGCCCTATGGCCCACTTGGTTATTGGAAATGATGACGATAGAATTGGTTGCCATGAATTTGTTTGGTTTGGGATTAGCAGTGCTGGAAAGAAATTTATTTCTTATAATTAGTCAAATAAAAATAAAATTTTAAAGACATATACCAAAAAAGATATTAAAAGACTGAATTGCCCTCACACAGTTTTGTTTCCCCTTCCTTCTTTTCCCTTCTTCCCATTTCTTCTTCCTCTTCCCTTCTTAGCAGTGCCCTCCTCTATTGAAGGCTGATCACTGCCATCTCTATCGCTAGTGTTGTTGCCACCACTGTCACTACAACCACCCTTCTACTTCCTCCTTTGTCCTTTGCCCTCAATCCCTCTCCTCTCTGCGGCCAAAAGTCATAAATCCCTCATCTCACCATTGCTAGAATTAGTAAAAATAAAACTAATAAAACAGCCAAAAGTTGAAGGAGAAACCAGTAAAAGCTGATAGGTCTTAGATTTGGCAGCCTGATCAAAGAAGAAACTTTGTAAAGATTTCTGGATTGAGTTTTTGGCATTTGAGTCTGAGCTGGGGGAGCTTTGTAGATGATGCCAGAGGAGGAGAGTAGGAGATTGTGGATGAGAGGGTTAGCGTTTCTCGGAGGGGAAGACTCGATAGTAGAAGAGGGAGGATGAGAGGGGTGAGGTATTTTTGGGATATGAGATCAGGAATATGATCATTCCTCTCATTTTTGGGAGGAATGATGATTGCTAAAATATGGTGATTATGATTTCTTTATAGAGTATTTCTTTCAATCAAAATTGCTCAAAGTGTGGGAATCGTGTAGGATTCCATTCCTCTTCTTCTTCTTCTGGATACATCGGAAAATAAAACAAACTAACTATGAATGCTTAAATCCTTAGAGTGCAGCACTGCCCTTAATGAAGTAGGACCCAAAATTTGAATGTCATGAGTGAAGCTAAGAGCTTTCTTAGCAAACATAATTTTGCCAACCAAACATCACCTTAGGTTTTTGTTTGCGTGATATTACTTCTCACGGCACTATAGATTTGCTGTTCATTGGTTTGTGTTAGCAATTAATTTTGGCAGGCTTGATGCCTTCGTCTCTGCTATTGGGGTCCAATCATTTTGGGTTAATTTGGATTTTATTTTCCTTTGATTCAGCCCTTTTAGCATTTTAATATCTTTGGTTTCTTATCATGAGTAAAAAATGTTGGTCCTTGCGATGCTCATTATGGTACACTTCTCTCTCAAGGCTCCTATACATCTGTTTGTACCATTTCTTTGGCTGCTTTGAATTGCACTTTGGTTGCAACTAAACTCTAGAAGGAGCTTATCACCACCCCCCCCCCCCCCAAAAAAAAAAAAAATCTCTAGAAAGAGCTTGGCTAAGAATTCTTGATTTATTAGTATGAGAATACTAGTTCAATCTTAGTGTCTTGATTTAATTTTTGAAACCAATGACATAAGTATTGACTTTTATCCCTGATTGATGGAATCTTCTCAGTTATACCCTGACATTGATTTTAAATCCTTAACACTACTCTACTTTTACGTTCTGCATTGCTTGTTGCATTGGACTATTATATTTTGTTCAATAAAAGATGCTGATTTCTCAACAAACCTGACAAATCCTTAACCCCGATTCTCATAAAATTTTCTCAATTAAAAATAATTCCGACATTGATTCTAAATCCTTAACGATATTTACATTTACGTTTTACAATCCTTGATGCATTGGACTGCCTATATTTTCTTCCATAAGAGATGCCGATTTCTCACAATTCAAATGCAGATGAGCTCTAGATTTGCTTCCCACTCATATTCGGTGTTGTATTAGTAATGCCCCCAACTTTATGGTAATCATGAATTATTTGTATTTCATTTTTCACTAGACTAATTTATTTAGCCCTTGGAAGAACAATCTTTTATCAATTCAATTCTTGATGAAACCTTTTAATTTAAGCTTTAAAATATCACTCCCCTTTTTATTTGGTATAAAGCCTTAGTCGTCCAAATGCTTTTTACCTTGTTTCAGGCGCTGGCTAATTGTTTGTTTTCTTTTACTTTCTTTGTTTGTCCCAAAAAAAAAAAAAAAAAAAGGTTCCCATTTTGGTCAAAATGGGATCCTAAGTTGCGGAAACAGATTGAGAGTGGAGTAATCTTTCAGGGATTAAATTGAGAAGCTTAATCTTTACAGGATCATTACATTATTCTTTTCTTGTTCTGTTTCCAGCACAGTAAATATTAATTTCTACGCAAAAGTCCTAATAATCAAAGTCATATTTTTGTCCTTGAGAGATTATATTTTCAGTTTATTTCTATGTCATTTCAGTGCTCAAAAGGTTTGTTTGTTTGTTTTTTTTATTTTTTTATTTTTATATTTCACCCTTTCGAGGTGCCAAGTGATACTTGCACAATCTTTGGAAGCATGCTGTGGTTTAAAAGAAATCATCTGCTATCTAAAGTGATTTTTAAATCTATGAAGTATTAAACTGACGATGAATATATCTCTGTTGGACCAAATTAGTAGTTTTAACTTCTATTAAAATGTGCTAATTTAGGGCAATTCTTCCTACTTCCCCTGGCTTACAGCTCCTAAATCCAAAAAAAGTTACCATCTTTTGATTTTGTTGAAGATTGTTATATAATGTATTGTCGAAAGCCATTATATTGATTCAATTTATTTTGGCAAAATTAAAAGCTGGATTTTATCTCATATATGGTGAATTATTGACTGAGATGCAGTTGAGAAGTTGAACTAGCCATTACTGATTAGAAGTGATTTGTTATCATCCGAAAGTGTTGCCTGATTGTTGACCAAAAAATTCTGAGTAGACTTTGCGGCTGACAATCTTCTCTGCATAGGTACCAACTCACTTAGACACAATTCATAGCAATGGTGCACATCCTACTATACTCCATGAACATGTCACGGACGAGTCTCGTAAGAAGACACTATTTAAAAGGCCATCAGGAAAGTTCGTAGCCAATAGTTTGCTGCTTGTTGGGGGTGCAATCTGCCTGTCTCGAGGTCACTCTAGCCTTGGCGCAAAAGTAGCCTTGGCTTACATGTTAACAAAACTTGGCAAGCACAGTGCTAAATCGAACCCGAATGAGCAACATCAAGGTAGATGACTTGATGCACTGTAAGAAGTGAAAATAATTTTTTTTTTTTTGTGTAAATATTTTGACCTGAGAATTACTTCATAGCTTTTCTGTGGCTGACAGCTATAAGTTGATGAGTCCAACATGTCATTACAACTTCTTTTTTTTTTTTTAACAAACAAAATAATGCCATGAGCATACTTGGTGTAAATATTACAAGATGTTTCAGTGTTATAAATATTACAAGATGTTTCGGTGTTATGTGAGAGTGAATATGGTTTGTGATGATGCCATGAGCATACTTGGTGTGCTTAATGTATTGCAGTATTAGTAGTACGCAGGCAAGACTAGGGAAACTGTGATGCCCTCAGAGAAGATTTCGTGGGGCCGGGTCCAGTGACTGGATTATTATTTTGCAACGTGACATGGATAAATTTCGGTCTTATTTCTTAGTGTCCTGTTTGAGGGAATGTTGGGGAAATGAAGGGAGAGCTTGATTGGAGGTGCTTCTTGTAATAACATGTCGTTTGAATACCTATTCTTTATTACTGTCACTGAATTGAATTATTATAATTAAAATATGCTGATCTGGATATCATTGATTATTACCCCTTCTCCTCTGTGTGTATGCCTTGCAGTTACCCAATCTTGTTCTTCATAAATTTTTTTGTCTTAACTTACAATTTCCAGTTCATGAGATTAATTTAATTGACTGAATTTTATTTATAGCATACAATTCCAAAATTCCTTTGCAATTTGGTAGGTGCCATATCGGGGCTGAGCATGGTCAATATGTTAATTTAAAGGTTAAGATTAAAGTTATTTGATTGATATGAAAACAAATTACATAAAATATACTTTTCTGCTGAAATGTGAGTTAAATTTAATTTTTTTTGCTACTTGAGAACTCTGAAAATTTGTCTATTTCTGACGTGTGAGATACATTGAAATTAACAAGAAAAACTTCATGGAGCCCAATATAATTGCATTGATTTTCGTGCGCTTTCACAAACTAGGGCATGATGTACGCACAAATTATCTATAATATCAATAGATTCTGGACTTCTACGTGTTAATGGGTAAAATACACAATCATGATACTAAGATGAAAACAAACTCAACTATCGCCTACGAGTGCATGTGTGTACTGGCAAAAAAAAAAAAAAACTGATCCTTAATATAAGTTTTAATCTGTAAAATTGCACTGCAAAATAAGTGTTTGCTTGCATTAGCAGTGAACAATGGTAATTTTTATTACTGATACTGATTAAAAGTGACGTTGGTTGATGGTAATTTCTATTTGGATCTTTTTTCTTCTAAATGATATTGAGAATATGAATTATATTTGGATTTTATATATTAAAATCATGTATAAATATATAATTACCAAAAAGCAATAAGGGTATATAAGAAAAATACAATTTAATATAATTCTTATAAGTAAGAATTGCTATTATTTAAATATAATATAATTTAATAATTATGATTAATAAGGTTAAATATGAGAAATCCTAGTTGTTGAACCTCTATTGTGATTTTACAATCGCAAAGGCTACTCTTAGTAGATTATGTTCAAACGTGCGACTATAACTTGGACAACGATATCTTGGAATTTTAAAAAGTTTAAACCAACAGGATAAATACGTTTTATAATTACTTATTTAAATTGAAACGAGCTTATTTAAACTTTCATCACTTAATCAAATAAGCACTAAATCTTATATTTAGGACGGAAGGTGGTATATATTTGTGTGAATGTTTGCGTGGGCGTTTTCCTTTATAATAAGCACTACTAATTAAAAAAAAAGACATGAATCCTTCTTTTTGTTGTAATACTATTTGAATATTTTGTTACATAAATAAACATACTTTTTTGTGTGGATATTTTGAATCATCAATTTTTATTTTCTTGGGAATTGCAATTATTTTATAAAATTGATTTGTAAGATTGATTTTGAGTATAATTGAAAAGCAAAAGGATTCTTGAAACAAACATTAACTACTATGATATCTCTTCATTTGGCTGGTTGCTGGCCTTGTCCCATCCAATAAGTGGGAGTGTACGGATTTGGCTAGCTCATTAACTTAGGCTAGGCGTCTCTCCATTCAATTTCAAAACAAAACAAATCTCTTTATTTGCAACTGACACCCAAACCCAATATCCTTGCCAAATACCCTCGGACTTTGTACGGCCCATCTGTAAAAAATAAGCAAATCTAATGTGAATATTTCTTTTGAAAGTGAGACCCAAACGCAACACAAGTTTAGGAAGAAGAAACCTATGAATTTGATTGCTAAAAATGGAAAACACAGAGTGCGCCATAGCTAGTCAGAGCGAAAGGAGAGGAAAATGGCTGATGAGAACCTCGCGCCCTTCGCGGGGATGGGGAGTACGGACATGCCACTTCTTAGTTTTTACACCGAACCAAAACATTCCCAACAAACCAAGAGACCTCCAGCTCTTGATCGTTCCAAAACTCTGGAATAACAAAGACAAAATCAAGCTTCACTGAATCTTGTATTCTTTTGTGATTTTCTACAATTGAGGGGCACGTTCGTACTTCTTCCTTTTCTCTGGGTGAGAAGATGCGCCACAACCTTGCTGGGTTGTGGATCCCTCTGCTCGCGGTTTTCACCACCGCAGTTCATTGCAAGACTGATTCCCAGGATGGTATGAATACTTAACAAGATAGTCACTACGTGCCAGTCGTTCCCTCTTGCTTTATAATATATCCCAGTAATCAGAATTCGGAATTGTGATGGAACTCCATGTTAACGTGGATTTATCTACCATATGTATAATTGGGTTTACCGTGGTCTTGCATTTATCTTGCATTATTTGATTTATACCCTTTGGCTCTTGATGCTTTCTGAAAACTCTACTGCTATTAAGAACCATACAATATCATCGTTCGATGATGATGGGTTTGCAGAAACACCTGTATCTTGTGTCTCTTTGATTACGCCCTTAAATAATTATACAATCAATCGATAATATATTATGCTCTTAAGATTAGTTAAGCAAAACGCACTTCTTATAATTATTTTGTGCCTTTTGGAATTCGGAGAGTGATTATAGATAGAAATATGTTCTGTTCTCCCTGTCTGATAATTCATGTTTCATCGAGCAATCATAGGTCAAAGAATAGTTTTCCTGGTTTACTTGACAACAATGGAAAATTAATATTACCACAAACTCATACTATAGGCATGTGTTGTTGGATATTATTTTGATTTGTCTGTGTGTTCAGTTACGCAGAACTGCAAAGCTCTCTATGTTTTATTTAGTATCTTGCTGGACTAACTGGTATTAATCTACGTATTTTTGTTCTCACTAGTTTATCTTGCAATATCCATAAGCATGTGAACTTATTATTGGGGGCTTAGCTTGAAATCAAGCTATGCATTTTCTTTTCTTTTCTTTTCAGATGTCTCTTCATGCTTGTTTGAAACAATTAGTTTTGTTTTTTTAATGAATCAATTGGAAATTTGAAATTTCCATTATTTTCACATTTCAAATCCTTTTCTTTCTTTCTTCTTTTAATTGTAAAGTTTAAATTCTTAATTTTATTGGTGTAATTGTGCAGTTTCAGCACTCAATGGGATTTATACCAGCTTAACATCTCATTCGCAACTGGAAGGCTGGAAATCAAGTGGGGGTGATCCTTGTGGTGATTCGTGGGAAGGAATAGATGCTCAGGCTCATCGGTCACAGAAATGTAATAGCCTTGAGCAAACTATGAAATCTATGTCTATGTATATATAACTGAGAGAATGCATATATATCTTGACATGAATTTGCTGGAAATCCTACATTGGTTATATTTGGCTCTTCTGACAGCATCTATTATTGACAGAAAT